AGATGAGTCACCTCCGCTGTATCTTCATCAGAATCAAACCAGAACAGGTAACCACGTGATTGTGCCTGGTGTAGCAGCTGCTGTATAGGGTTCCTTCCCTCTGACCGTTCAAACCTGAGTTACTGTCTGACGTTGTAGATGTGTCTTCGGTTTGGATGGTCTTCTGGAAATTTCTCTAACACAGATGCTAATATTTTAGCAGGCTTGACTTGAGCATCACTCATTTCTTTCACAACTAGTTTCGCAGCAGGACTTAAGCCGCTCAGCTGTCAATGACCCTCTTCATATACTATCATCTCATGGTTGTGATACCCCCATTTAGAGTAACCAATCACTTCCCAACCGTCACGACTCCGTAGTTGTCGAACCTTTACTCTGAACTCACACCCACAACCTTTCCGCTTTGTATCAAACCGAGTGGCTGTACGAAAATCTCTTTCTTCTCTTTTGCGATAACGGTCACATCTCAAAATGCGATCCATTGTACCATCCCGTTGATATTTATGAGTTACTACTACCAAGCAAAATCCAGCTGCAATTGCAACCTGTTTTGCCCAATCAATCGCCTGTTGAGCTTCTTCGAATGGACCATCATGTCTAAATATCCCACTTTAATCATTTCCGTCTCCACCATAATCCTGCATCAATTATATATTATAATAAATACATTTAACGGATAATACATTTAATTTCTATATTTACACAGAATTTACACAAAAAAAAGCATAATTATGTATAATCAAACTTAATTTTTATAAAAATCCAATTCGAATTTTCAAACTAAATTTAAAAATATACCATTTCGAATTTTCAAACTTAATTTTAAAAAAAACCTATTTCGAATTTTCAAAATTAATTTAAAAAAAACCCATTTCGAATTTTTTTAAAAAATCATTTTCGATTTTTTTTAAAAAAAAATAAATAAATAAAAAACAACAACAAAATCAAAAAAGAAAAAAAAAATAATATATAAAGGTGGCGTCTGCCAGGGCTGCCATAGCCACTGGACTGGCGCCTGGCAGGGCCGCCTCAGCCAGTAGAGTGGCGCCTGGCCAGGACGCCATTCTGGTGGTCTGGGCGTCTGGGCTGGACGCCACTGTGGTGGTTCTGGCGTCTGGCTTGGACGTCCAGGCTACGGTTTGGGCGTCCATCCTAGGCGCTGGAGCCACTCCGACGGTAAACCGTGAAATTTAACGGTGACTTACCTCGTTTTCCGTCGACGACGACGTACCTCCGGCGTCCCCCGCATCTCCGGCCTGCCCTCCGGTCTCCCCCGGCGAGCCAGTACGGCTCCACATTTTTTAAACCGAGATTATTTCAATTTTAGAAAATGGGCATAATGGTCACACCAAGTCATATTTGTGGGCTTTATATGGTAATTTGCGGGCGATATTTAGCGATTCACTACTTTATGACCTGAACCCGAACCTGCCCCGACCTGATAGTTACCGTCAACCGATTTAATTCTACCCGAAAACAATCTGAACCTGAACTAGTACCCGACCCAATTAAAACATGAACCCGAGTCATGGAAGGTTTAATAAAATTTTATATACCTTTTATTCAGCTTATATACTTGTATAATTCTATAATCCCTCGATTCGATTTAATAAAATCTTTTGTTCAGCCTATATAACTTTTTTTCTCTATTACTCGTATATAAGAAAATCTTGATGATGCTTGATCAAATTATGGAAGGCGTAATTATATAGTTCAACTTGGCCACATCAACACTAATCCGAACCCGAATGTACCATCTTGTAACCCATCCAAATCCTACTCAACACAACCCAAACCTGAAATTGAACCCGATCTAATTTTAATTTGAATTGAACCCGACCTATATCCGAAAAGGTGAACGACCCGTTATAACTTGAATTGAAATTGACCTAACCTGAACCTAAACCTGATCTAAAGCTAGATTGACCCGACATAACCTGATCCTGATTTAACCCGATACCTAATTTGACCCGACCCAAACCCGACTTGAATACCCGAATTGACAGCTCTACTTTTTAGTACTAAATATTCTTTTTTTGCGTATTCTTTTTTTATTAATGAATATTCATTTTTTTTACGCGTTCATAATTATCAGCAATCCTGATTTATACTAAGTGTTTATTTTATAGAGCGTGGTGCAGCTATCCTACTACTCCAGGATGCAGCTAAGACCTATTGTTTGATCAGTAATATAGTTTTGGGCCTTTGGCTTGGTTGCTAATTCATAAACGCGATACATTCAATTTCTTTTTCCCTCCATCTCTCTCTCTATATATATACGTATAATTATAGTACAAAATGTCCTCTGCTTCATTTCATAAATTTCTTTCTTCTACTTGTTCGTTGTTCAGTTCCCAAGAATGGAAACTTACTCCGGCAAGAATAAAACAATCGAGAAATGGAGCAATCTTCCAAGAGACATACTCTTACACATCCTCCAACGCCATGGATTGAAACCAGACCTTCACCGTCTTCGCGCCGTTTGCTCTTCTTGGCGAACCGCTCTTTCACCAAACCCTGAATTTCCTTCCTGCTTCAGGACTCCAACACACCCTCTTTTCGGAGACTGCCCTCTTTTCCTCCTCCAAACCCGGTTCTACTTTCTCTCTCCTCTCCCCTCTTCCGGCGTCGATGGCGGTGCTTGGGTTGCCAAGATGATCGAATTCGAACCCTCCAAATGGCACCTCCTTAACCCGGTTGATGACTGCCGGACCCTGGACTACTTTCACTCGGATCCACCCATTGTTGGGAAACTGGGTCTCAGTCTGTTAGATTGTCGGGTTCTTGAACTTGATAGACCCATGTACTTGGTTCATTCATCGGACTGTAAAACCCGACCCGAATGTATATCCTTCCAAGTTGTAGGTGGGTGGGCATTGAATTCGAGTTATAAGTATGCTCTGTTAGTGGATCGAAAGAGAAATAATGGGTTGATGTTATGGAGATTGGGTGATAAACAATGGATTGATATCGAGATTCTCCATTGGGGGTGTGTACTTGATATGGCTTTTCATAATGGAAAATTCTATGTAATCTTGTTCAAATATCAGGAGTGTAAGTGGAAAATCGGAGTAATCGATCCTCAAAATAAAATGATCTCGATGCAGTTCATAGACAGGCCTGATTTTTTGGTACAAAATCAAGTGGACAAAGAAATTAATGTCAAAGGGATTTCATACGAGTTACGCTATTTGAAGATGGTGTCGTCGAATGAGGAGTTGTATCTTGCCATCGAAGGCTTTCGAGAAGATATTGGTGGAGGGAGTTGGACTAGCAGAATGTTTGTGTTCTTGTTCAAGGAAGAAACAGAATGGGTGCGTTTGAAAAACTTGGGTGATCGAGCTTTTTTCCTTGGTTTTGGGCATTGTAAAGAGAGGTCATTTGGTATCCCATCTTTGAAAGATTATCTACCACAATGGAAGCCGAGTACGATTTGTTATTGGTATCCTCATGTCGATGTATGGTCAGGGGTGGAGGGATATGGTGAAGGAAGTAGCAGTCCTATGCCAAAGGGACTAGAGTGCCTCAGCAGTCTGATTTTTCCAACATATGATAAATATTTTCATGTGTTCAACATACAAAAGCAGGTTAGGCTTCTCTTGGACTATCCAAACAAGGACCATAAGCTGTATCGAGGGTTGTTCTTTCCGCCTCCACCTTGGGTTAAATGGCACTGCCCTAGCCTTGGAAATGTTCATGTCAGCTTTACTGGTTTGTATATCGATGATCATGATGATGATGATGTCGCTGAGGAGGAAGAACAACATGCTTATATCACTGATGAGGAGCAACAACATGATGATACCGATGATGAGGAAGAACAACATGCTGCTGATATTGCTAATGAGGAAGAACAACATGCTGCTGATATTGCTAATGAGGAAGAACAGCATGATGATACCGATAATGACGATGGTGATGAGGAAGAACGGCATGATGATGCCAATGAGGAGGATGGAGCTGCTCAAGCATTGATAATGTTGAGCTCAGGTTAAGTGCGTGGCTTAATTGCATTTTCACATGAGATAACGCACAAGGTTGTTTACTATACTGATTTCGTTGTGTTTCGATTGTGATTTTGCTTGTTGGATCTATCTAGTGCTAGTGTAGAGTCTGTAGACTGCGTAGTGTTAGTAGAAATTTATTTGCCAAGATACTTCATTTTTCTAGTTATGTAAGAAATTAGTTTCAAGTCTTGAACATTTGCTTTGTATGTATCCATGACATTGGTTTTCATTTAATGTAGGAGGTGATTGTTTTGTCATTGAACTAAAATGCTTTTGTAAATAAAAATAATGCTGCGTAGCTTTTACTTAACATTCTATCATCACAAAACAAAAGACTACAAGTAATATTCGTTACATCGAGTCTTCTCCGGATCTTTACTAATCAATTGCCAATACGGAGTATGATTTTGTGGTCGATCATCCTTTTTCTCTTCATAATGAGGGAAGATTTTTCGAGTGCTATACATTCCATTGGCACAATGCTCAATCCTATACAAGCCTGATTACTGATTCACTATGCATGCTTACAGCCATGATATTGAAGGCAGATGCTTACTATTATGATTAATCATAAATTTGTGACTAGCACAGTACACGAAATTTAAAGTAGTCATTTCATTTCATGAAGATTTTACCCTCTCAATAGCTTCGACGTGAAAAACCTTGCGTATAGACTCGAGATTTTGTTGAGCACGAAACTTGGCACTAAGTAGGTTGCTATATTCAACATGAGAGGCCATTGTTGAATATACAGTGTCACCTCTCCAATTCCAGTACAATACTTATAAAGTTCACTCCAAAAGAAGAAGAAAAAAAATTCACGTCGAAAGTCTGAGCACTTAATACATATTGCCGCAAATCATATCTCTGGAAAGACCCCCAAAGAACATGCTACTTGGTTTCAAAATAAGCTAAGGAAGCAGAATCTAAGGGGGGAAAAACAGAGAGAAATAGCAGGAAAACAATTTCTAAGGAAAAGTACAACTATACAAGTTATAAAATTTGGATTAAAAATTAACTTAGAAATTTTCTTGGAGCTTTGCATCGACTACCAGTCTACCATTTACACTATTACATATTTACATGTTTAATAAAAATTAAAGACAAAATAATGGTCCTTGAGCCAATGATAAAAAATGATCCAAAATTTTCTATATATTTACACTGTTTTTCTTAATAATCGCAACGTTTCACTTTTTAGAAACCTGCATACTAGGTGTAACATCACTACTTTTGGCTGTAGTTTCTCTCTCTATCTCTGACCTCTCCTAAAAAATTATGAAGTACGGAGTCTTAATTTCATTCCTTGGATTAAATTACACGTCTAATTCCCTCCATAAAAAACAGAGACGGTTTTCACCAATGCGAGGACATTAATCTGTAGCAATTGTATCCATGGCAACATAGCTGAACAGATCAGACAGAGAATTCACTTGTCATTAAAAAGGTGTAATCAGTCATATAGAGATCACCTGGCAGCATATGAAAGAGATGCAGAACATTACTGAGAGGGTTCTTGATATGATTTTGGAATTGTAACAGTCAACTGCAGCTTTCCGAGTTGGCAGAGTTTTACCGGATTCTTATAAACCATGATCCTGGCAAGATTTTGGCCAGAAAGAAGAACATATGCTATACTGAAAGAATCACCTTTCTCTGCTGCAAATTGCCACTCTCGTGTTGATATGACAAACCACTCTTTCTTAGAATATCGAGAAGCTTTCACTTCAATGTATTCCCTATTCTTTTCATCTCCCATCACAATGTCAAATGGTAAGCCCGTCTCTTTATCTTGATTGACCCAATTCACTTCTGCTCCATCAGCATTTCCTGCAAAGTATCTGAAAGCCAACAGCTCTCCAAGTCTACCAATTCGCATTGCTTCTTGAGCACCCGGAGTATTAAGTTGATCTTTGCTTTTTGATTGTCCCGCTTCTGGGCAAAGGGACTCGACAACAATGTTGGTAGGATCAGGTAACATTTCCATAAATTGACGCTGGTTGCATATAAGATCATTTTGATTTTCAAAAAGAGGGAAGGCAGATGAATCAGGGCCTACGACTCCATCATCTTCAATAATAGCATCTTCATTTATGTTGGTTATATTCACTTCAGCTTCCTCCTGTATTGAGCCCTCAAAAAGACCCTCAACTGTACCTGTATTGCGACTTTGATCCATGATCACAGGTTTTGACCTGGAACCATTGGCAGGTGAACAACTAAAACTGGGTGCAGTTTTCCAGTCCACAGGAGGCCAGCTTGAGTATGCTCGTTTTTTCTTGGAATTGGAAGATAGGTCATTGATATCAGTAAAAAGGGCATTTCCAGAAAGTGCTTCATTATTCTCCAACAAGGACAGTGAAGAAGAAAGAGACCAGACGGGCTCCTCAATGGGAACCTTTTCCATCTTCTGGCTATTAAGGATGAAAAACTCCATTTGCTCTTCAGTTGAACCAGATTCTGCCATAGTAGTGATCATGTGAAGGAAGTTGGCCAAATGCAACTCGGGAGAACCATCAAAGAATAATCGCGACAGTTCCATAAACACAGAGTGTGAATCAGAATCTTGAGTTGTGTATAGAATGTTGTCCTACAAAACAAAACCATGTGTATACCACTGAGAAAGGAATACATAATTTTTCAACATAGAAGTCCACAAAACTACACTACCTGAAGTAGGGAGTGGCATTCAGTCTTCTTCTTGGATGAACAGTCACACCTCTTTATTACATTACGATAGAACAACTTTTCAACTACACAAATTTTTAAATGATGTAACTTGCATCCAGACTGCTTGAGTTGACTGTATCTTTCTGGATGTAGATTATAGAGGTAACGCTGGGCAAAGGGAAGCACCCATGTCACCATAGAGGTTTTTAAGCCACAATCAGAAAGCCCATAGTAAATAGCTTCACGAAACACAACCTGCAATGAAGTAATTAATAAAAAAATTCTTTATAAGAGAATATAGCAAACTAACACTAGTTATAGAATATATTGGTATAGCAACATGTGCCGGCTCATCTGCACAAAAATCTTCCCCTTCTGCCCCACCTTGACCATTGTGGATTTAAAATATACAAGAAAAGCAATACAGGCAGGCATATGACAAAAAAAAAAAAAAAAAAAAAAAAAAAAACACAAAAAACATTACAGCAGAAAACTCCAGCTCAAGGTATTTTAGCAAGAGGACAAATTCGAACAAGGTAACATTAGGAATATGCACCTGTAAATTTTAGTCATGCATATAATACAAGTAACTTTTTTTGTTTTAAGAAGAATAAAGTGAAGCTTAAAACAAAGCCCTACAAACAGCACATTAAAGCCTTCCCTTTTGAAATCTCAGCAGCAGCGACATCTATTGGGTGCAAAACAGGAGTCTTGCAACAAATATAGCCAAAATTTAACCCTTAATTCACCTAGATTGTTAATAAATCAAGATGAATAGTGAAATTGGCCAGTTTTCTTGTAAGGAATTACATCCATTTTCTGAAAGCACTAACAGCCTCTGAAAGCTGAATGAGTTCCAATTAAATAATTCACCCAATAAGTCACTGCTAACTTTGACTTCCGTACATTTCAATGAATCAATAATTTCCATAACATCATCAGCATGTAAAGAATTCAAAGACACATAAGAATTCGAGCTTCTGGTTTTATACCACAAATATTTTCCAGCCAATAATCCAATTGAAGGAAAGGGTACCAAACTATAGAGTATATGCAATTTCCACCTTGCAACTACAATCAGTGAACAGCGACAAGAGCTCTGTTCATGAGAGAGAGAAAAGGCAAATATACATACCTTCGAAATAGCAGGTATGCCTAAGTTCTGTAACAGAACAGAAACTTTTATTTGAAGCATCTCTCTTTCATCGTCGGTAAGCTCTCCAAAGTATAGAAACTCGATATTGTCTGAGTGCTTAAATTCTTTCTTTAAAGTATCATCATCAGACCAACATACAAGGCCAAAAGATGGGTGTAAGGAAACCCACTTATCTTGCATTGCTGGAAGTACTCTGAACTCTGACTGCAAGAGACATTCCTTCAAGTAAGACAGGTTATCAGGAGTGAACACACCACACTTCAGGTCATCCGCCCACTTGAGAAGAACTTGGAAAACCTGATACATGAAACACATTATTATCAGAAAATTTACACAGGTCAATAAGCTCGATAAATCATTGATATAACATACCGCATTAGCTGCCTGTAGAGGGGAAGAGTTTTCAGACAACTGCCGCAAAATCTTAAGGTAATGACTAAAAGAAGGGGCCTCGTTGACACCACACTCACTCACAAAAAAGTCATGAAGACCTGGATAAATAGAGCATAATGTCTTGCTACTAGCCTCTACAGAATTCTTCACATGCTTTCTACAGTCCAAAGCACCGGTAGAATCATGCCAGTAAGCTTCATCAGGCGATAGAAACACACCAGGTACAACATCCTCGTAGAGTTTGACAGAGGCGCAAGGGATGAATATGAAAGGCCCTGATTTTAAAGCATCCAGCACTTGTTGCCTACATGTTGTGATTTCCTTCCAAATGAAAGAATATATTTTTAACATTTGTGACAAGCTGCAAAGATCAAGTTCTTACTAAATTAGCTCCTTCAATTATAGTACATAAAGAGTACAGCAGAGAGTAGAATAATATTTTTCAGACTAATTTGGATGATACAGACGTCTTAGGCAATTCATAAGCAAAGTCACAGTACAACAGCCAAAAATTGTGGTGGCTGTGACTGGGCAAGAGAAGGGCATACAGAAACGCCAACTCTAAATATGATTTATGATACAAGAAAGCAAGCATGTGTCCTCACTTCTCTATTAATTAGATCTCTCCTGTCCAGCTTTCAGCCCCCTTCATTATTGTGAGTGAAAGAACCTATTCAGATTTGGTCCAACTAAAAATAAAAATAAATAAATAAAAAAGAACTCTAACCTCTCCCAAATCTAATTGCAGTGATTTATCCTAAATATTTCATTTCAATAAGACAATGATTACCAAAATATACGTGGATTTCCCCTAAGCATTTTTTAAACTTCATGACTTGGTTGGAAGGAGTTAGAAAGGATATGAAGCATATGGATTTGCATGGAATGAGCCCAATGAGGTATTTGATAGTAAGGAATGGAAGAGAAAGATTTTTGTCAATGACTATACAGATTAATCACCTTTGGTTCATGTAACCGACCCCACTTATGGGATTAAGGCTTTGGTTGATTGATTAATTACTATAGGATGCAAGCCAATGGGACCCTAAAATTAGTCTATTCGAATTGGCACAATATCAATGAAATTCCATCATTAATACCACAAGGGATTGTTGTGATGAAGACAAATAATGTGCAATGACACCAATGAGTTGACAATTGATGGCTATGACATGGGGTATTAGTGTATTACCATAAGTGATTGAGTTGCAATGGATATGGTGGCTCATATTTTCACAATTCCATGTTTTAGAACTTAAAAGACATGAGGGATAAAAAAAATGATATGTTTCTCAGAGCAGAGAAAGGAGAATGGTCAAGACACCTGCCTTGAAAATGAGAAGTGAATTCCATATTTTAAAATGTAGTCAGATTTAAATAGAATATAATATATGGAATAATGTGAAAAGTAGCCTATTCAAAATAATGCATCTGAATGTCATAATCATACAAAAAAAAAAAACAAACAAACAAACAAACAAACTAGAGTTCATGACTTTCTACGTTAACTTTAAGGGCAGTAAATTAAAGAGGTGATAGGTCTGTGCCTTATGACACCTCATTGTGCCACAGTAAATTCGCCTCTCCTAGAACAATAAAGGTAATAGCTCTCTGTGCACCTCGCCAATTCTACACCACTTCCAGGTTCAAACATTCAATATATTGGTTTCGGAAAGCACATGGTGAGAAGAGCTCCCTAGCAGTTAGGCAAACGATGTGGGTACTATGATCAGAAAGGAATAGAAGACTTCTCTCAAATAGGGTTACTGCAGTGCCATGCAAGGTATAATTGCTTTCCTTACCTTACATGAATTTGTACAACCAAAAGTTTCCATTATTTTTTGACAGGCTCTGTTCTTTCATTAGGATTTTCAGCCAGAAAATGTATACCCTTTCATGACTATTTATTAATAAAAATATCTTTTGTAGCTTCTTTAGATGGTAAAAAAGTACTGGGTTGTCCAATCTCTCTTACAAAGCCACAGCACTACAGCAGCACATTGATTTGAATGACTGCTTAAGTTTTCATGAAATATGCTGGAGCTAGATTACAATGAATTTCTAAATCAACAAATTTAAGATTAAGGACCAAGAATGAGCAGCTTTATATCAACCAATGATCAAGAATAGGCAGAAAAGTGACAAGCTCTGCAATAGATTACTACCTGGCTGTGAATGTAGACTCCAACGTTCTCCAAGTTTGAAGCATTGCCAATACATCATCAAGTGTAACTTCAGTCTTGAAACCAATTTCCGTCAATAGTCTAACACTTTTGACCTGTTTCAAAAAAACTACATATCTGAGAAATATTCAAATCATCTTACAGCATTCAAATAATTGCCAATGTTACACAAACAAAAAGAACCCTCTCCTTTCAGTTTTATCATAGTATTGAGATATACTACCTATTTGCGGTAAATACATATATTTAGATGAGTGGCTTTAGAAAAAGTTGTGAAGTTGACTATCCCATCAGATATACAACCTCCTTTACAAAAATGAAAAAAAAAAAAATACAAATAATTAACACACTTTCCTTTATTGGGTGGAGGCAATCAGAGTGGTTGGTTGGTTTCATCTAATCTATACTCCTCAAGCTCACCAAATATATCAGACTAGAACACGGTGATAGTCAACTGTTTCCTAAATTATGTCTTATTTTAACAAGATTGCACCAAAGTCTGACACAAAAAAGGTAAGGTCAGTGAAGGAACTGACAAGCACAATACTTCAATTTTAGACCGGAAACCAAAGAATTCAGTCAGAGTGACATTCATTAAGGAGCTCCAAAAGGCAGAAACAAAGGATATCTCAATTGGAGTGATAAAGAAGTGGAGCTATTTGATGGAAAATCATTCAAAAGAAAGTTGATAATACCATGCAATTAAAAATATCAAATTGAATCTAGCTTTAACATTGAACTTCTTACAAAGAATATCAATTAAACTGACCTTTGGAACAACATATGGGGCATGACAACCAAGAATAGAACGGACAGCATCACAATCATGAAACAACTCTTTCGGATATTGAAGCTCGTTTGATATACTTGAAACTGCCCACCTGATATCAGATATGCAATGCCAGAACGAAGATCTGAAACATAAGTCATTCAGACCAGACTTACTGCTGCAACAACCAAACACTTTATCACTGAAATGATCATCCCATAAGTCATCTAGAACTTCCAAGAGATATTTGCACCTCTCTTGGTTACCATCCTTAGACAAATGGGAAAGTATATGAACTAATTCAGGCGATTCCCAATCTCTAACCACCAATCCTGGGGATATGAGCTGTCTGTCACTCGTCATCTGACTAAGAACAGCAGGAGACAAGTCAGCTACAGATTTCTCAGAGGGAATTACTTTGACAAAATCTGTGACCCCTAAGTTCTGAAAAAACTTCCTCCACTTCATTAATCTACCTGACACTGACTCAGTAATGGGGTGCTTCAAATACATACCATCAACCTCGTGCCACTTGTAATTTAAACCACTTATCAATTTCTTTGCATCAATAGAATTTCCATATTCTTTATTAAAATGAATCGGCACCTCAAACGGTCGCTTGTATCCATGATTTGTTAAAATTAAAGCTTTACTGCATAGTTCAGAAATTATGAGTTCTCTTTCAACATGACAATCTACACAAGTAGAGTTCAAATGAAGCATTATAAAGGTAATATATTCCCTCATTAACTGCATGCTATCAGTCAATCTGTCATCCGATATAGATGGTAAAATATGAATCTTAACAAGTTCATGAGCTGACATCTGCTGAACACCAAGCTTCTGCAGCATACTTGTACAGTTATTGATTAAAGTAATGTCAGCAGATGCCTCTGAAAAGAGGGCAGGGCTTACAATCCTCAGTGTAGCATATAAGCAGGGAAAAGCTTCATTACCAAGTTCACCACCAAGGCCAGTGCTTATGTAGTCAGCATGAAACCAGATGGTACCATCATCCAACGAGCCATATGTACCATCAGACAGTGGAATAAATGGCACTTTTTTCAGGTTATTTATAAGATCCAGTTCGGAGCCTGAATTCCTTAAGTTTGGTGCATGGAAGTGAAACATGCTGTGAAGTTCATTAAGCAAAGAGAAAAGCCAATGAAGACCCATTGATTTTATACCATCTTTCATTCGGCCCAAGGAAGATATGAGCTGTACCAATATCTTTGGACCATATTCCTCAACACCGAGTGCTCTAGCAAGTACATCCGACAAACTTACATCCTTGTGTAAAAGACCAAGTCCAAGTTGTTCATACAGTATAGTGTCAGGCAACAGCATCTGTGCTTGCTCATTCCAGCCTCTTAAAACCTTGCATGGAGGGACCCACTTGTCCTTGCACCCAGCCTGAAGCAAGCAATTTGATTGACGTAATTTAGCAATAATCATCCGAGGGAGTCCAGAAAAAAATCCATGCACTTCACCCATAAGAGGAACAAAGCTCATGTAAATACTCACTGCTTTCGCAGGATTCTCTCGGAAACAAGGAAGAGAGCAAAATAATTTCTCTGCATTAACAAATAAAACAGGAAATTCTGACAATAACCACTGATTCCATGGGCTATCTCCATCAACTTCTTCTCTAGAAGAAGGAAGGACAAAGTCAGCTTGAAGTATAAATTTGAGGCCATATGTTCTCAGTGGTAGAAAAGCAAAAACAGGCTGCTGACCTAAGAATGGTTCATAGTCGCCATTTATTGTCTCATTCAGTGTCAAAGCCATAGATATCTCAGTCATATGAACATTGGACCGGATAACTTTGGGATGCAGCTTGTTAGAAGCCACAAACCAAGTCATTTGCTCTTTCCCATGAGATACTTTGACAATTCCATCTCCTAATATCTCTTTTCTCATGATAATAAGCGAGTCATTTAGCATATTCCTTAACTTAATATTCTGAAGACGGTGAAGAAAAAGTAACAATGAAGGATGGAGATCAGAAAACATAGACAAAATGCTACTCATTGCTGATCCTTCCAGTAATTTTGATTTGAAAGGAAGCACTATACATGTGTTCCAACAATTCTTGCCCTTTTGAAAATCATCTCCAGGTACCAATCTTTTAAGCATGTCAATATCACAAGGTGGTACAATTGTTGGTAATACAAACCCAATCTGACCCTGACCAACATCAAACTTAATATGAAATCCATTTGAGTGAATTTCCGGAGCATCTGTAACCTGTGTGAAAAGCAACTAAAATTAAGATGCATAGGTGACAACTTATAAGATATAGAAGAAATATTTTCCAAAATATTCTGCTTGGCTTAAGAAAGTATTGTCTGCAGTATTTTTGCATGTTCACAATAACAAGCAATAAGCTAAGCGGCCTAAGCCATCCTGTAAAAATGCAAGTGAAACTACATGCTTTAACATAAACAGAAATTAAACCAGCATTTTTGTCACAAACTTGATACCAGTAACCATTTCATGATAAATGAGTATTTGATTGCATACCCGAAAAACTGATTTGAAACCAATTCCTTTTTGTCCAATGTAGCCGGCAGAAGACCCTTTTTTGGTAGAGTTCCCTACATCACAAAGAGCTCTTATATTCTCTGCATCAAATCCTATCTCATTATTAAGAATAGCAATTCCGCTATCTTGAAGGATGAAGCTTAGAGTAGGTTCCACATTGTCAGGGTAAACATTATCATCAGCATTCTGAACCTGTGAATTTAGAGATTAGAGAAATAGGAAGGTCATATATGTTACAGTTGACAATTGGGAAAATCATCACATTCTTGCATGACAACATCCATTACAACAACAATAACTCTTGTTCTATGATAAAGATAACAATTTTACACCATGAAAGTAAATATTATGAATCGGGAAACCCAAAAAAGCAAATAAACAATCCCAGCCCCATCCTCCTAGCCAAACCCAAAAAACAAATATAAAGAGGAAAGACACAAAAATATTCGAATTTAGGCAATATATTACTTTTGAAGCATAATTAGTTTGGACATAATTCGTCATGTTTTCAAATCATATCTGTCAGTGTGCCTAGTAATCCCAGCAAATAAAAATACTGTGAAAACACCTATACAGATAGTATCTCCCATTCTATACAAGTTTATCATGATGATCCCCCCATGTTGAGGAAGGTGTAGGGAGTAAAGTACATGCCACCTTACCCTGCCATTGCAAAGAGGCAAAATTTAGAACCTTAGACAGAAAGGCTGCCTACCAGATCACGAGGAGAGTTTAATTTAGCAAATGAAACAGACTGTATGCATACATCTAGACCCTAAATCCCTGCAACAACAGGATCCTCAGTTGATGTAAACAAAGTCAACAAGAGCTTGCCCATACAATTTTGCAGTGATTCTTTTAGCATAATTGGTAGATCAATAAACAATATCAGCAATTCAACCCATTTTCATGTGTTTCCTCTCTTCAGCATCTCCCCTTCTTCAATATTCCTTTTTCTTAAACCCAATAAATTGTTTAATTGTACCACTATTTGGTCAACTGGGGGGAGAGTGTTAATAAGGAGTTCCATCATAATCTTGAGTTTTCCCCAGGTTTTCAAACTACGTACTTGTATATAGTACCACACTTCCAATAGTACTACCCATGCCCCCACAGTCTTAATATCAGTATTAGTTTAATTTACTACTTATTTTAGAATAAACCTCATAACAACAATTCCATCTCTCTCCCCCTCTCTCTCTCAACCCATTTACATCATACTCATTGCCAGAATGAAGCTCCCTCTCTCTCTTCAAAACAGAGAATGAAAAAGGAGAAGTACAAAATTAACCAAGTGTCAAAAAATGAAGAGATTGAGCTTTAGTGTAGGAGGATGTGCCACACCCATATGTGTCACTGCAAAATTCACCATCTCAGAACATTTGAGTACAGAGTAAGTACTGTAATCAGCTTCTGACATAACAAGAAATTTTAACAGGTTTTAACAGCAACTTATACCAGATCATTCATTGCTCAATATTCGAAAAGACCCTTCAATTCATAAAATGGATTGTATATCACAAAAAATGTTGGCTCCATAGATGTATTAGTCACTCCTATAAAACCAAGCCATCACAAATGGATAGCCTATAAGGTTGTTACTACTTTAGAGCTTTCATCAAAAGATCAAATTAACAGACAGTTGGCACCTGGGAAGATAGGACATCTTTGATGTTTCTAGTTTTGTGGGCCTCCCTTCTCCATGTTCTTTCTCTCATATAAATCAGTGGTTCTACCGGGGATGAAAACCAATTCACCAAATTATATTATTTGGTTCTAATGAAACCGTAAACACATCCTTGACTAAACTTATTATTGGAAAGAGATACTCAAAGAATGCAGTATGGCAAAGCTAAAACAAAGACCCAGCCTAAAAAGTGGATACTGCCAAATGGAGTTCCACCAAATACTTTTTGAATAAGAAAAGGTATTATATTAATAAATGTAGAAGAAGATTACAGAAAGAGGACAAGAAATTACCAAATTGATCCAATTCCTTTGAATCTCCCAAATTGTTTAACCCTCAAAAGTCCCTGCTGCCCTAACCATAACGATGCTAACAAAAGTACGTTAACATAGAGCACAGCACATGACACCAGCTTGATCCCTGGATTAATTCGTAGCTAAATACGCTATTACTTACCTAAAATGGAAGCAAAAGCCAATAGGAGTAGACTCTTAAGATAATGGAATTCGTTTTGTCCAGCACAGCATGCAAATGTCTAGTGAAATTCCCCATTCCATGACACATTTCATTTGTATTATCCCCCCCCCCCCTCTCTCCCAAAGCTAGCATAGACACAAAAGCCTGCACCTTCCCTATGAAATTTGCTAATGGAAATGCAGAATATTAGGGTTAAGTCAAGCATGTAAATAAAAGGATTTACACAAAATGACAAACAAAGTATCTCCCGTCAAAATCTTAGTGCATCAAAAGGTTGTGTTTCGACACATGCACTCGTCTATAAGTATGCAGCCTAAAATAACAAAACTTTATTATATGATAGATTTAACTAAAATGACTTGCCATATGTAAACTTATTAAGATTATTTAGTCAGTCAAGTGTAATGAAGCGACTTAGAGGAGGGTATTATGGGTAGTTTAGTATTTTGGTAGCTATCAAAAGTGGTATGGGCAATTTGGGAAGTCTAGTATTATTAGGTTAGTAGTTTTTAGCTTTAGTATAAACAGAGAGAGGGAAGAAAGAAGAAGGCAGAAATTTGGTGTGAACCCTTGAGAGAGTTATGGCCTAAAGCCATTGTTAGAGTTGTGAGCTAAACTCTATTGGAGAGTAATAGCCTTAAGCTATCAAACCTATCTTTTGTAATCATTGCCATTTTTAATCATTATCCAAGCATTAATTTTTTTTGTTGTATTATTAAATCAGAAATATAAACCCAGAAAATCAGTCCATTACATCAAGCACTGGCAACCAGCGAACATAACCGTGGACTCGCATCACTCAGGTGCCAACATTCCTCACTTATTATTTTTCTTCCTCTTGAATAGATGCCACGATTTTCAAATGTAGAGTTTTTTGAACCCTGACAAAAATTTTCCTTCCACTTAATTTCCCTCTAGTGAGTGGTGAGTGCAATATCCCGTGTCCACGCCCAGGGTACGCCATCCATCACAACTACAAGGATCTCAACTAAATACTTAGTAAGACAAAACTAAATAAGCCATGAGTTTGCAATATTCAATCAAAGTTCCATCAATAAGTTTAAATTTATGGAAAAAAGAGAATAGCTGACATAAAATCCAATCAAGCAACTGTGATACAAAACCAAGAATAAAAAAATAAAAAAACCAAAGTCCTCTAAGCATGGATACAAAATAAGCATAAAGGCACACATGACATACCAGCTCAAGAAGGAAATGTGAGTCTTGCGAATACAATTCTTCTGAGAGACAATGAAGTGCTCGCCCCAAACGGGCATGTTGTTTCTTCAACAAACTACTCTCCACATCAGAGATATTAGGGTCCAATCCAAATTCATCCCGCCTAATTGATTCAACAACAAGAGCAGCCTTCTCTATGTCATGTTCAGCCAGGTGATGTGATAAATTATTTTTAGAATACTGCACTTCTGAGCCACCTATGGTCACGGATGCATTCATATCATTTTTATGCAGGTCGAGTCTTTTAGAAGGAGAAGAGGTCTTTTCAGGTGGACACTGGGTAAGGTCAATCTCCTTCACATCAGAACCCATGTTTGTCAGTGAAGGAACTCCAGTTAGTATCAAGGACTTGTAATCAGTTATTGGACAAACTGAATGGTGATCATGGATCCACTCAACTATACCCAATGATAAACCAATTTCATGCAGCATAAGACGCTCCATATGTCCTTTACACTGAATCAATATAGCTGAAGCAACATCTTTGAGCAAAGACTGCATTCCAGAAAGTAATACATCAGCTGCAAAACAGCGAAATTCTGAAGGCAGGAGAGCTAGACAATCAATGACAATTCTTGATGCAAGGGACACAGCACAATTCATCCCACTCGACTTCTTGACAAAATTCACACTTGAATGACAATTAACCGATTCATTCTCTCTCGGTATTTTCTCACTCCTATGCCCATTACTATAATCCATGTTTTGCACAAAATCTGCCATGACAACTTCAAATCCTTGCCGTGCCTGGCATTTTAGAAGGGACAAGGGCACATGACTTTTCCCACCAGACAACACAAACAATGAAAGAAGCTGCACCGCAACTTCAAAAGGCGATTCATGAAGTAAAGCTTGAAAGAACAGATCCCCAGAAGCTAAATGGTCAATTCGAACAACTTTACCATCTCTTGTCAAAAGACATAAAAAGCCTTCCACATTAACCTCTGAATGCAGCCATTCCAGAAGAGGCCCAAGTGAAGGAGCATACACAAGATCCCAATGCAACCATGAGTTTAGATCTGTCAAATATGGTGTTTGAAGTAATATTTCAATAGCATTTCTTGATGTAACTGATCCAAATTTACCATCAACCCGCTCCAAGTCTGCTATCAGCCCAGAATTGTCAAACACGTCAATTCCATTAGCACCAGCAGAATCAACATACTTAGAGGTGCCTGACAATGTTGCAGAGAAAACAACACAATTGGATGAAACACTGTTTTTCTGCTTCCCTACCAACTCTAGGAGCTCTTGTGTACTACAACTTTCGTTAATTCTGAAACTGATTTGAGGAAATTGCCGAATAAGCAGTTCAGATATTTGATCCTTGGTTACAACGCCTTCCTCCCAGAGGCTGCTTGAGGCTTGGGACAATAACGTAACCAATTGTTGTTGAATCATGGTAACCTCCAACAACTGGGATTCATGAACCTCCCCTCTAACAAAATTCAGGAGTTCTTTAGGGAGTAAAGAAGAATTTCTTTCTAAGAACGAAAAAAAATCCCCATGACCAAGCAACTTGAATTCTTTAACTGAAAACTTCTCACTCAACCAAACTTCACAACGAAAAAGTTCCTTTATAAACATGAGCAATCTATCCACAAGTGAACTTCCACCAGATAACACAGTGCTTTCAACTAGATAATCTGAGGCTTTTCTGACAATATCTTCCAAATTAACACCTGAAAATTGGAAAAGGCACATACGAATAATGATAAGAAAATAATATGGATCCACAAAAGCACAAAGGGAGTCAAGGAAGCAGCACCCATGGAAGTAGTTGTATGCATAATCTTGCTGGGTGAAAAAATGATATATGGAAGTCAAATATAAAGGCTATAATACACGAAATCGGAGCAATTTAGGAGGTGTCAGAACCCGGAGTCGGAATTTCACGGAACATTACGGGATGCATCCCGGGGTCAGATAAAATTGTTTCGATCCATATATAACCATTATCTGGCTACTTACAGGCCTCATGAAAGCTTATAGCCAATACAAGAGGCGTGTACAAAAACGAGCAAATTGACCGTTTTAAGGCATATTGGATAGTTCCACCCACCTAATTGGACTCCCGGAAGGTATTAGGGACCATGGTAAACATATCGGCAATTTTTATTTCCAGGCAAAAAAAGGTCAAAAAAATTCTAAAATTGAAGGATATTATCCACGTTTTTTGAGGAATTTTTATGTTATGGGGCCCGTTGGCGAAAAGTTTTGAGATTGTAGGGAATACATCTTAGGGTCATATAATGCCGTTTGGAACCATATATGACCATAATATGTTGTCAAAAATGTTCGTGGTAGGCTTCATTTCACTAAATCGATGCAAGTTTCAAACGGGTAAATTGACCGTTTCAAGGCATATTGGACGGTTCCGCCCACCAATTGGACTCCCGGAGAGTATTAGGGACCATGGTAAACATCTCGGCAATTTTTAATTCCGGTCGAAAAAAAGGTCAAAAAATTCCAAAATTGAAGGCTATTATCCACGCTTTTTGAGGAATTTTTGAGGTTACAAGGCTCGGTGGCGAAAAGTCTTGAGACCCTAAGGGATACATCTAAGGGTCATATAATGTCGTTTGGAACCATATATGACCATTATATGTTGTCATAAATGTCCGTGGTAGACTTGAATTCACGAAATCGATGCAAGTTTGGAACGGGTAAATTGACTGTTTAAAAGCATATTGGATGGTTGCACCCACCCAAATAGTCTCCGGGGGTGTATTAGGGTCCATGGTAAGCATCTCAGCAATTTTCATTTCCGGGTCAAAATAAGTGGAAAATTGTCCAAAATTGAAGGTTATAATACACTATTTCGGATCAATTTTTGACATTTTGGATGCTACTGAGGTCATATAAGGAGGTGAATAATTATCATAGGAGCTTGCAACCCGTTTAGAAGAAAACGAGAAAAGCTAATGACAAAGAACAATAATTTCAGAATCAGAACATAAAACAGAGCATGCTGTGCTTTATTACAATATGTTGTAAAAAGAAGACATGTTGGGAGTGTTGGACTATAGCATCTTCCTCCTAGACTTGGCTTAAGGTATTCCAAAGAGGGAGGGGAGAGACGAAGATTACACAATCAGCTTAAGTATTGAATGTTTGCACCAAACATACTGCTAGTTACATCACCAATGTCAACACCTGGTTAAAGTTCTCCCTTGTGTTCGGGTTAGATTTCGGGTTAATTTTGGGTTGTGCTCAAAACTATCAAAAATAGTGTATAACTTAATATTAATACAAAGTATGATTTATGGGTAGAATTCGGGTTGTTCGGATTCTGTTTAAGTTGGGTTTGGGTTACTCTAAGTAACTTCATGTCGGGTTTGGTTCAGGTCGGGTCAGCCTTAGTAGATGTCCTACTTTCGCTTGCTCCTGTATATATAAGTTTCTAGTAGAAATCAGTAATGGAGTATCCGAAATTCTTCCAAACTTTCATTCCATCTCAATTAACTAATCATTACACTCCATGTTATCCTATAGTTAAGATATAAAACTGAGTTCTTCACATTTAGATTATTACCATTAATTTCCAGCCATGCTGAAAATACAGACTTCCAGCACATCTAAGCTTTGCACTTATGAAAACCAACGTAAGTAAGTCAAGAATCCAAAATATCGTCCTTTTCTCATATAGTAATTGATCTTTGTTAAACCAGACAACCCCCTCCCCCCGGGACAACATCAAACAAGAAACCAATTGAATTACTTACATGGAGCAATCTTTGACGAATCCCTATTGTGAAGGCCAAGATCCTTTCCAATGGGATCAATATCAATGCTTTCATACTCCATTATCTCCTTAGCTTGAATGTCTTCCTGTCCCAATTCACCCATGAATTGGAATGTATCATACATGCTATCCCACATCCCCTTTCTAATAGATGTTACCTGCAACATTAGGGGTAACATTATATATTCATGTTCTCAAACCCATTATCCTCAAGAGCATTGTATCATGACCAGACTAATTATTGTACACACATACATCGCAAACGGAGGCAAATTCGTCATCACAGAGCAACTCAATCAATCAAACAAATATAATATCCACAAACACTAAGATGCAGCAAATTCAAAAAGCTCAATAAACTAGAAAGTGAATAATTTTACAAGGGTCATGCAATTTTCAATTTATTTAATATATCATAGGAGAATCAAACAAACTTCTATAAAAGAGAACTAGAGGAGAAAGTATATGGACTATGGAGCCCCAGTCACAGAGATTAAAACTTAAAAGACATTCCCCCCACCCCCACCCCCCCCCCCAAAAAAAAAAAAAAAATAAATAAATAAATAAATAAATAAAACCATTGTGTAGCACAAATGGAGGATAGTAAAAGGAAAACAAAAAAGGGAAAAATCTAAACACAACCACAGAACATGGCCTCATGACTCAGCCATCTAAGAGAATGCAGAGCCACATAGTTATCAAGATCAGTTTCTCAGACAACTAAATTATTGAATCATGGGACAAGAAAAAGGATACCAAGATTCTCACGATCAAATGAAAAATACTCACCGCAACATTCAGCAACCCTACAAGTGGATAATCTGAAAATGCTTTTCTAATTCTTTTTCTTTTTCCACCTGTCATTTTATGGAATTCTAGCATTTTTTCCAAGACCTGCACCATAAGACAAGGTAAACACATTTAACAGCATCCTATATAGTACAAAAAAATTGCAGCAAATATGAGATAACTAAAAGACAAATCTAGAGATTTACTTTCTAGCATAATGCTATGCCTACTTTTAAGAATTATTTGCCAGGGAAATGGATAACACCCCCCTTTGTGACTTTTTATACTTCTCTTTGTAATTTGGCCAATTAAAAATGGAATCAAAAGCAGTTTCACAATTTCAACAGATTAAATTTCAGCAATTGGTATTTGGTGCTCAAAACAATATAAGCTGAAAAAAGATCCAAGTAGCTATACCCGGTTTACTCCATTATATGACCTTTGATTACCACTTGTTACCGAGTAGATACGAGAAGATTATCATAGGGGGCAAGTTCATTACATTTATGAGCCTTAAATGCAGCCACCACTTGACAAATATTTCTATGCAAGCCTAGCAAATTAATAGTCTTGATATAGTGTATAAGGTAATCTCAATGATATACAGTACAGCCACAATAGCCTTAATTTTCTTCAGTGTTGATTTACAATACCTGCCTCAAAGCCTTAATATTGAATTTTTGTGAGTGTAAAATTCCAATATAATACACTATTTGCCCTAACATATAAGCTCTACTAGCAATCAATTAACATCTAATTGCAGCAAGGTTTTTCAGATCATAGTTCAGTAATAGTTTGCATTAGATCATTAGCAATGAAAAAATCAGATGTATGTAACAATAGAACAACTTTCTCAACAGCTACATACTCCCTCCATTTCACAAAGATGGTTACACTTCACTTATCACAAAATCCAAGAAAATGATTAGAAGTCCTGGAATGTTGTAAGAAAAAAACAATAATGAAAAGTAAGTAGTGGAATGATATAAGAAAAGAATATTAAAATAGTGAATAGACATCTAGAGGTGGAATTCTATGTTGCTTATCCAACACAGTGTCGGAGGACTCAACTCCAAAATTTAGGCGGACACGTCAACACGGTCAAAAGAGTGTCTTCACCAGTTTTCTAGACACGGCTATCATTTAAAGTGTCCAGAAAATTTCTTTCAACCTTTATGTTAGACATATTAATAAAAATCAGATGTAAAATTAAAATACTTCCTAAGTTCCCCTAATATTGCAACATAGAGGAGAGGGCATGGATTTTAAGAAGCAGAGAGAAATAGAGAGGAATAAAGATAGGACCCATGAGATGAGGAGAGAGAAAGGAAGGAAGAAGACATGTGCAAATAAGGAAATGTAGCAATATTTGTGACACCACTTAAAATGGTAATTGTTGCAATATTAGGGGAACATGGGAAGTATATAATTAGTCGTAAAATTAGAAGTTAAATATAATAACACATCCGTTTCTTATTATTGTATGTGCAATAAAAGAATATATTATATCTCACAAATAAGACCTTATGTTGCACATAATAAATTAATTAGCTGTAAATAAATTAAGAATAATTTCTTCATGATGATGAGTCATTTTCATCTTTAGCAAACGAGGGAGAAAGAAGACAATGGAAAAGCAAAAGTGAACACTTGTTAGCAGCTAAAAAGAGACATTCATAAAATAAAAAGTAGTTCCAGCGGAAACACTAACATACCTCTACTGCTGTGTGCTGCCGGCAAGCCTCCTTCCAGGTTGTGATAAACATCCTAATAGAATCATTATCATCAGCAATGTTTGAATTAATTTCCTCCTCTGGCTCAGTGCTTCCAGAGAGTAAGAAAGAACCTTGTTCATTTGCCTTTCCATGACTCTGACTTTTCAATTTTCTTTTCTTTTTCGGCAGCGTGCTTCTCTGATTGCAATTTAAGCTCTGAGTATGTGGAGAAGAATTATCGCCAATTTCTCCTTTCAATCCCAGCCTTGTCCTCTCTTCAGCTACAGATGGGTAAGGACAGCTACTCACCCTATCTCCATTTTTTCTTTTTACGGAAGAGGACTGAGACTGGTTACTCGTTAAGTTGTCATTTCCTAGATTTTCATTATCAGAGATATCTGTCATATCCTCATCCTCATCAGAGCTAGACGAAACAAATCGTATGTGCTTCCCACGGAAGTCCTTGTTGACAGAGGCAAAGGATGTGACACGCTCACTTATGACACTGAAACGGTTATCAAGTTCCTTCTTTTGCAAAGAGAAAAGTGGCCTTTTTTTACTTGGCTTATTGCATTTCTCTTTCACTGCCTCCATACACTTCTCCAAAACAAGATTTTGAGCATTCTGGGCCTTGCGTAAGAAACCTATGTGCAACCTGAAACAGTATTGTAGGTATTAGATCACATCATCTAATCATCAATGATTGTCCAAGAAAGAGGTTTGAGCAAATTTGACATTTTATGTAAAAGCCAAAAGATTTTTCTTGTAAAACAGCAACTAGCCCCACTCCCACTACAGGTTTGAATTTCCAAGAAGACAACTAACAGGATTTTAAGAGTTTGGAAACAAACACTGCTCAATGTTGTGAATAAACAATGATCCATCAGGCTCCAACTCCAAGTATAGAGAAACCAATTTCAACATCATTTCTTCAACTGCTAAAGTAACCAAACAGCACACGAAGGGAGAGCTATGAGCTTTCCTAATTTTGGTTCAATGAATATTCAGCTGAAAAGTTAATAAACTTGGAAGTATCAAGCTATTTTGCTCAAAAAGGCAGTCTCCTTATGCATAAAGAACCTGAGTGGAGACACACTTTAGGGTGCAATAAGACCGCAACTCGGAGATAAGAATTTCAAATGTCCCTATATTTTCCAACTTTTAGTATGTGTTCAATGATAATCTTGGCAATTGTTTGTAGCATTCACTTTTATCTACAAGCTTAAAGATTGATCTATATATGCATAAAACATTCAAAGGCTACTGCTGTGATTATATAGTACTTCACACTTATCCCAGCCGACACTGAAAAAAAAGAGAGAGAGAGAGAGAGATCAAGGGGTCATTGAAAAACCAATGTACCACCCAACGTTCACTTATCACACATCTCAAGGAAAGCAACAACGTAAATTAAGGAAGCATCAAAGACACAAGCAAGCATTTAACAAGTACCACAAGCATGATGTTTGTTAACTTGTGATAAGTTTATATCATTTTTGTTAGGCAGTCAAAAACCAGTTATAAATTGTTCTTATAAGGTAATAGTAACAACTAACAAGTGATATTTGCCTACCCCAAACTCTGGATCCGCAAGCCAAGTAACCTGGGGTTTGTCACTTTACACTTCCTTGCAACAAAATCCAGGAACTCCTGGATTGCAACCTTCTGGTTCTTCTGTTTCTTACAATAAAACAGCAAAAGATAAGAAACTATTTGGTCGGTTGTTATCTCGTACACTTCCTCCACATCTTTGTTTAGAGAGAAATAGTGCATGACAAGGGGGTGCCGTAAAAAAGGACCCAACTCAAGCTCTTCAAACTTCTCAACACACTCATTCTTGCATATGGCCTCTTGCAAATCAAACAAAGACGTAATCTTGTGAACAGCCACATGACAGCGAATAAATGTATTGACCTAACATACAAAAAACACGACAATCAACAAATAAATTTCATTCATACCTAACATTTTAGGCCAAATAAAAATACTCCATCCCTATAAAATAACAGTTCACACAGTGCTAAACTCTTATAATAAGTTATATTTGGGCATATACAAATGACATAAAACACAAAAAAAATCATAGATTAACCTGTGCTTCGACGAGAATAAGTTGTTGGAGGGAAGGAACTTGATGGAGCTGAAACCCTAAAGAATCCCAAGAGTCAGCTTGCAAGTTAGCCAACACGCATTGCGACAGCTTCAAAACGGAAACATGCTCTCCAGCTCCAATGATTTGACGTCGAGCACTCCCAACCGCAGTCTCAATCTTATCAAGAGTTTCCTTACGATCACCAGCATTCGAAAATTTGGGATTTGGTCTGTTTCGTTGTTGATTTTGATTCTGCAAAGGAGGATGGCTAGGGTTGTAGTTGTTCGTGGTTGCAGGGGATGATAAATTGGGATTATTCTGCGGAAATCCAACGGGATTATTAATATTATGAAACTGAACTCCAGGATTGGTCGGAATTGGGAAATTGTTGTAGAAATTGGGGTTTTGAAATGGTAAATTAGGGTTTTGGAAAAGAGGGTTTTGATTGTGAGAGTATAAGCCCATGCTTTGGAGGAGGAGGAGATTGGGATCAAATTGCTGCGGCGGATGCTGAGGCTGAGGTTGTGGTGGAGGTCCACGACTTCCGGCGAAGCGTTGGGGACGATGGTTCTCCATTGAAGAGAGATTGAAGGTGGCGGGAAAGAGTCTGAGGGTTTAAGCTTTAAGCAGGGTTTTAAGGGTTTTGCAATTTTTTAGCGTCCAAACAATATAAGGGTTAGTTTGGTCTTTTCATATACAATAAAAAACGATTAATGAACTAAATTATTAAGGAAAATTTGTTAAAAATAATCCCAACTTTTACGTATTCACCTTAAATAATCCTAACTTTGTATTATTTTAATATAATCCAAACTTTGGGTGTATTCGCTCAAAACAGGCCCTTGTGACCGGTAACTTGTTAAACAGGTAATTTTTTTTTAAAAGTTAATTGACACGAGTCATCGTGTTAATGATTAAAAATATATTTAAAAAATTTAAAAATGTTAAAAAAAAATAAAAACAAAAAACCCAACCCAAGCCCCCAACCCACGACAACCACCGTCATCGGGCCTGCCACCGGCCTAGTCCAAGTCCCCGGCCTTAGCCTGCTACGTCAAGACCCCCTCCCCTACGCGGCCACCAATACCCACCACCGCCCTTTGCCTCTATCCCAACCACCAAATCTCCTAGTCAAAACACCTCCTCTCTTCCTTTCCCCACCTTACCAAACTGCCGTTGACCTCCTCCTTGCACCGAAAGGTAAAAAATAGAGAGGGAGAGAGAAAGAAAAAGGGCGGTGGTTAATTGATGGGATCAGAGGGCGTAGTTTTGTGGGTGAGGAAGGTGAGAGAGGATGGTTTCAGGGCCGGTCAAGGTGCGGCGATTTCGAGGCTGGGTAAGGTGCAGCGAATTTAAGGCTGGGCAAGCGGGAGGTGGAGGTTTCTGGCTGGTAAAGGGAGGCATAAGGTTTTTGGGTTAGGCGGCAAGGGGAGGGGAAAGTGTCGATGGTTGTCTGGGAGGGGATGTGGATGGTGACGTGGTGTGGCTGCGCAAGGAGAGGGGGGAGGGTTTTGGGGCTGGGGATAAGGATAGGGATAGGAAGGATGGTGGTCGGAGGTGCTGGAGAAGGGGAGGAAGAGGGTATTTGTGGAGGTTATGGGAGAGTGTGGTGGCGGTAGTTAGGGGTGTACAAAAACTGGCTCAGACTTGAAAACTGACCTGAACCGGACCTATTAGGACCGGACCTGATCCGGACCAGTAGATTCAGGTTCGGTCCCGATCCTTGAAATTCAAGGATTTAGGTTTCAGGTCCGGTCCAGGTAAAACTCGGAATTTTCAAGTCTGGACCTGAAACCGGTAAAACTACTTTTTTTTTATTTAATAAGTTTAAACAGGTCCATAACAGGTCCTAACAGATCTAAACAAGTCTAGAAATAAGTCTAAACAACAAGTTTATAAACAAGTCAACAGTTTTATATTATTTTTTAAAAAAAAAATCAATAATCAAGTCTATTCAGGTCCAAACCCGGATCAGACTTGATTTTTCAAGTTTGGACCGGAACGGGACCTGTTGATTCAGGTCTAGTGTCCGGTCCTTAAAAGTCAAGGATTCAGGTCCCGGTCCATTTATGTCCGGGTCAGGTCCGGTCCGGTTTTGGACCGGTGTACAGCCCTAGCGATAGTGGTGGAGAAAGAGTGGCATTAGTGGCTGGGTTTTTTGTGCTTGTTTGGCATTGTTTTTTGTTTTCAATTTTCAGTTTTTTTAAAAACAAAAAACCAAAAATAGGAAACAAGAAAAAGATGTTTTCACTTTTCAGTTGTCAGTTTTCAAAATTAGCATGATTTTAATAAGTTTGACTAATTTTTTATTCAATATATGACATATATCATACACTTTTAAAATACTAAAAACCAAAAAACTGAAAACCACAACAATGCCAAACGAACCCTTATTTTTTGGTTTATATTTTTAATTTAAACTTATTTTTATGTAAAAAAAATTAACAAATCACATTATGCCACATATCCCAATAACCTTTATTATAGGTTAGTAACCTGTTAGGACCTAAAGAAAGCGAATACACCCCAAAGTTGGGATTTTAAAAATAATCCAAAGTTGGGATTATTTAAAGCGAATACGTGTTATTTTTAACAAATGTTTCAATTACTAATACTACCTACATTTTAGAACGTCTATACGCCACAATATGGATGAGAAGGTTCGAACACTTGACCTTTTAGAAGAAAAATTATTGTTTAACCATCTAAACTAATTGTCAATTACTTGTCACAAAAAAAAAAAAAAAAAAAAAAAAAAAAAAAAAAAAAAAACTAATTGTCAATTATGCTTTAACCTTACACAATAAATAATATTATTATATTACAAAGTAATGAAGGCACATATTGATGATATACATACAAATTATTAGATGCTCTTAAAAATGAGTAGTTGTACAATTATAGAAATAATAATTCGGGACAACGCCCGAGCTACTCACTAGTGATATTTTGGGCCAATGCGCATGACTCTAATTAAAGCAACTCCATTACTAGGCTTGCAAATTCAAATAGTTCATACCTACTAGTTTGACCATTATTAGAGATAAAATATACGATTAGGTTGGTCAAGTAAATTACCTAATTGACTTGGAAAAAAATTGCCAAAAAGAAAACTAGTAATTTAAGATGAAAACTGTAAATAAATAGTTTGGAAAATTTGCCATATGAAATGAACAAAAGGAATGTATGTCTAAATCTCGTGATGGACGTATGATGAGTTTTGAAAAGGCTAGACTTATAAATCAAGAGAAAGAAAGAAAAAAATAAGGTTTAGCTTAAATAGAGAAGATAGAGATGTGATTGTTGATGAATTGAAAATGGGGAATAAATACCCTATTTATAGAGAAAAATCGTCTAAAAACAATCAGGTATAGAGTTAAAATTCGACTCGGAGTAAAACTAATGTCATCGCCGCAACGATAAGCCTATCGCGACGCGATAGATGATGTACAATAAAATTTGTACTGGTCTATATTCCAATTGAATTTGGTTCATGAGTCCGTACTTATCTTTTATCAAATCAGATTTAATCCTCTCAAAACACTTGTTTTTTTTCCAAATAAAATCCTTTATCTTTTCCAAAATAGCATAATTAACAAATTATGTAAATGTTACCCGTAAAACTTATTCGTGAATTAACAAATTATGTAAAATATGTATTGACTTTTAGATTTAGTCTAGAAATTTAGCCTTAGCAGTTAGTGAGAATAAAGGAAGCTGAAGCTGTTGCTATTAAATCTTTCAATTTTTACAGGGGTTACTCATTCACACTTTGAGAATTTGGTCAAGTTGATTCTAGCTTGGGCGGCAGATGTGTAAATATCTTTAGTCTGGTCGCGGAAAGTACACTTATATTTTGTTCTGGTCACGGAATGCATACTCTTTCAAACAGTCTGTTACTACATAACTGTTCTTTTTACTTTCAAAGTAATACAGAATGTTCTGTATTGCTAATATTGAGTGAGTACAATCGTTACAACTCAAAATTGCCGTTGAACTGATTCCAATTCCACTAAATTCAAATGTCAGAACAACAAAATTTAGTACTCTTACAAGTCTTACCTCCTTAACGCAGACAACTCTAAGGGGTCGTTTGGTTGGGGTAAAGGGAATGAACATGCCTCATCCCCTTTGTTTTGATGTTTGTTTGTCAATTTTTTCATTACCTTTACCCATTTTTATTTTTGAGTTAACCCAAAATCAGTCTAAATTGATTCCCCACCCCCTTAGACTTTTCCATTCTTTAACCTAACCCACCACTACACCACCATACCCACACCAACAACTAGTTACCTCAACCGCCCAACCACCACGCTGGAACTCGAAGCACCTTCCCAACCCTTTGCTAGGATTCGTCGCACCTTCCCCAGTCCTCATCGGAAGTCGTGCATTGATGGGCGTGCGAACGGTCGTACATTCCACACTCAATCAAACATATTTATTAACAAACACCTTACAAACCAAGCATAATGACAAGTAAGAGTTCGGTCCACAAGGAACAGGATATGATTGTCAAAGATCTTTACACTTAAGCTAGCTCGAAGTCAATTGGTGAATAGGGGTTCGTCAAGAAGACAAACAAACTATGGTGCTAAATCAATGAATTAAAGATACTAGGGAATGAGATCCGCTCAACCAAGGCAAATAGGCAAACGGGGAGTAAAATAGACAAGATATAGCAAGGACTATATGTAAAATCAACCTCATGCAATTAGAAAACAACTCACACTACTAAACTTAGATTCCTCATTAGTTTAGAAATAGATGATACATAATCAAATTACAATAAGTAATGACGTACTCAATTTACACTTCCATGTCAAATTAGGCATATCATACTATCAAGCTCCTTAGTCAAGGGTAGCTAAACCTATCATGAGGAACTAACAAGCAATCTCATATAATCAATTTAATTGCAATACAAACATCAATGCTTCTCCCACATTTGCATAGTTAACCCAAAAAGGTCGAGCTTCACCCAACCCCTAGCAAGAAAACTACTCACAACTCATGTTTATCAACATGCAATCAAGAATTAGGGTTCTAAATACTTCAATAATTGGGGAAAAGTGGTTAACAATTGAAATAACTATCATCCAATAACAAATTACCAAGAACTAAGAAGATTTAAATAACATGCAAATACCAAATGAAATCTGAAATTAAAAGGAAGAAGGTTGGAGAAATTACTAATTGAAGCTTCAAATGTTGAATACAAATTGCCCAACTTTGAGAATAATTCTTGAATTTCACTAATACAATGATTTGATTTGATGAAAACTAAGCTAAATTAATCCTAAGGAATGTTCCAAACTAAGGGAGGTTTCTGAAAACTAGGCTACTGTCCTGCTTCTCCCGTCTTCTTTTAAACGACCTCAAAAGGACCTTAAATAGTCCGTACAAAATCGGCTGAGATCGGGAAAAGGTCCGACCGAACTATGGGTAAGTTCGATCGGACTCAGGGTAGGTTCGGTCGAACCTCCCTGATCCTTGTTTGGTCGAACTTTTGAGGTTCGACCTCTCCTGCAAAATTGCTGAAAACAGGTTTGACACTGCCTTCACTGCACCCTGGAGGTTCGGTCGAACTTTTGAAAAGTTTGACCACACCAAGGTTCGACCGGACCTTTCAGAGGTTCGGCCACACCTCCTCTTGCACTTCCTTTTCTTGCTTCCTCTCCTTCCCTTTTGCCCCTCTTTCCTTTGTCCATGGCTTCCATGCTTGGCCAAGGGGCCTCCCACCGTGCATAGGACTGTCACGGAACTTGCAGAAGATACCAAAGTTCACGAGAGCATGGGGATGATAAAATAATGCATAAAGATTATCAAAATAAGCATTACTTTTCATCAACACAAAAAGAAACCATAAGAGGATAATGAGGTGGAAAAACCTAAGAAAAATAAGAGGAAAAAGACCTAAATACTACCCCTAAGAGTGACATAAATGTCACTCATCAAACTCCCCCACGCTAAGCCTTTGCTCGCCCTCGAGCAAAGCAAAGGAAAAAGAACAAGGGAGAAAGAATTAGTTATTCAAACATGCAAGGAACAAAAGAAAAACCGAAATTGCTTTTAGCAAAAGCAACAAGCCATTTAAACCCCAAGGTCGCCGATGAGGACGAGTTGTGATCTCGTGAGGGTTTCCAGAGAGCATACCCCACAACTCTTACAAAATTGCGTTCAAGACAAACCA